GATCCTAGCAGAGGCTGAAGGTTTCTGACAGAGGTCAAAGGCCAGGGGCTACCTCAGTGGTGGTCTAGGGAAGGTTAAAGGTTTTCCTGACTCTGCTCTGAGGCCAGCTCATGTTTCCCTGCCTTTGAGTTCTTGAAGAATATAAGGAACCAAGTACTTCTGTCCATGGAGGCCCTGATGAGGTGAGGGCTAAAGGAATTTGCTGGTGGCTGCAGACTGGAGACCTGAGCATCAGCAGGTGGTAGAGATGGGATGGGGCAATGGTGTGGGAATGGAGAGAGGGGATGGCCCTGAAAGTGGGACAGGCCAGCGTGTCTCCAGACACTGACTGTCCTGATGGAGCAGTGACCAGAATCCCTTTGAGGGTCCAGGATGCTGGAAACCAGCCATGGGTGGTGGTCTTGGCGGGGCTGAAGTTCACACTCCAGGAAAGCTGAGGACCCACGGCCCTGGAAAAACAGGGCTCTTGGAAGCAGAAGGGGTTCTGCTGGCTTCTTCCTGGGCAGGAAGCGTGCTGGACTGGTTGCCTAACTGAAATTTTGTGGTAACAGGCTGAAGAGGTGTCTTTTAGACCAGCACCAACGGAAGATCCCATTGGGTGGGGAAGTAGCACGTTTTTATGGTAAGGGGGTGCTTCTGGGTATCTGAATCTCGGTGGTGTGTTGGTTTGAGGTCTCCTGTGGGGCCTATGCCAAGCCCTAAAGGTGTCTGCTGGTTTTTAGATGCCAGGAAAGCTGTAGAGTGCCACCTATTGCTCTGTACCCTCCAGACCTGGGACCTGGCCTCCTTCCCTGTCTATCACTGATCTGACCCGAGATTGTCCCTTTAAAGGCCGCTATTGCCCTCTTCGTAGAATTGCTGTGCTGGTCTCTGGCCTCTGGCATGTGATCCAGGCCTTTAAAGTGATGCCTCGCGTGACGTGTTTGACGTATCCTCTGCCTGGGGCATCTGCACCCGTGACTTCTGTGTCCTCCCTCCATTTTTCTTCCTCTTCCCTCCCTCCTTCTCGAGTGATTCTGGACCCTGGGGGAAGGCTGGAGATGCCACCCTGTACTGCTGAACTCCTGGGCCAGGGCCCGGGGTTCAAGGAGCTCTCCATTCAAGTGAGTCCAATGTACACTTTGAGTTTCTGAATGAGCTTGTGACAGAAATAAATTTGGAGAATGAAATTCTAGCCTGGAAAACCAAATGAGCCCTTTCCTAATGTTTAAAAACAAAGTTTCTGTGTATTTCTACACACTAAAAGTATTTGTGTTTACGTATATGTATACACATGCATATATGGGTGTGTATACAAACACATGTGCACACATATGTATGTGCATATACATGTGTGTGTATCTCCATTCATCCCACTGATTTCAAGAATGATCTGCCTAGTTACCAAGTCCTCTTATTTCAGGGCCCTAAATCTCCCAAATCCACTCTTCTTCCCCTACTTGGCAACCTTCGTAATTGAGGTCCTCGTCTTTTCTTGCCAGCAGAATTGCAGCAAGGTGGTTTCCCTGCCTCTAGACTGGTTCTCACCAGTCCCTCGCTACATCAGGGCTAGCAGAGGGTTCTCTTAAAGTGGGATTCTTATCTTGCCGTTATTCTGCTCACAGAGCTACCTGATAAAGTCTTGATCCTCAAGGCCTTTACTGTGAGCTTCCACCTACCCATGTCTTCTTCCCCACACACCCCTGATCCCAGGCCGGGCCCTGCACGTGCTCTTTGCCCATGCTTCTGCTGTTCTGCTACCCGGATGCCTTCGCCTCATCCTCTGCCTGGTGACATCCTGCCTCTCCTCAAGGCTCAGCTGGTCACTTCCTGTGTCAAGTACTCCTCCATCTCCCCTGGCAGGATTAGCAGCTTTCTCCTGGGTGTTCTGCACACCCAGAGGTGTAACCGCACACACCTCTGTTGTTGGCTCTTTTCTCATTGCATTAAGTTGATTATGTTTTCCTGTAAATTGAGAACGTTTTGAGATTCAGGACTATGTCTGACTCTGATCCATCTTGCAATTCCCTGGGCCTAGCACAATGCCTGGAAGAGGAGTAGGCATTTAATAAATATACATGTGAATGAATGAATTCGTGGAAGTTTGGGCGATAAAAGAAACCCAGCGTGATTTGAAATTCTTGCCTCTCATTTTTACTGGTATCTCTCCTGAGTCCCCAGGCCCCACCTTCAGTAATTTTGGTCTTCCAGAGATCCTATAAATATAGAACTAATTTGACTTGCCACTTCTTCCTGTGTCATGGTCATAGGGAATGACAGGAAGGGAGCACTAGGGAGGCTTCTAGAAATGCCATATCTTGAGTCAAGTTTTACACAGGTTTACATAGGTTAAGCCTGACTCCACACTACGACATCTTTCCTAGTTCCTTCCTGGTTTAGTCCCCTGTTTCATCTCTGTGACAGTGGACATGCCTTCGTGAGCTCTGGAAGCATTACCAGGAGAGCTAGGAGGAGCAGGCCGGCAAATGCCAGCATTGCCTCCAGCGCAGAGATCTGTACTCTGAGAGGTCTCTTCTGGTGGTTGGCATTTGAAGCCAGTTGGCGCTTGAAAGTCCCCCTTTGGAATCAAGTTCTGGATGTCAGGAACCCTTCTCAGGATCATTTGTCCATTTCTCAACATCAAATATCTGTAGGAACAGCCTACTTACCAAACGTGGGACAGGTGAAGAAGCCCAGCAGTGACTACACTCGAGTCACAAGAGAAGATGCCCAAGATAATAGGGCATGCTGGATGTCACTGAGAAAGCTGGACAAAGGTGCTGCTTAGGGGACAAACTGAGGCACAAACAGGCTTGTTCTTTACTGTGGATTCTGCCCCTTGATCTGCTGCTGATTGAGCTCCACTAATTCTGGCTGGTACAGATTTCCCCACCGTGTAACATTTTCCCATCCCTGTAACATTTCACTGCCTCTTGCCCGTGGATCAGAATGAGAGGGTTGGCCCACATGTGCGGGGGTAACCCACAGCCCTGGGAGGTAGACCAGTTGTCAGGTAGAAGATGCTGCCTTATAAATTTAGAGGCTAAAGGGAAGCTTTTGTCTTTCTCCATATAGTTTAGTTGCTAGAATGGCCCAGAGTAAAGAATATCCAATAAGCCAACACCATTCTTTGTCCATAGTCTCCCATTTGCCTTCCAGAAACTGTTCAATTTGTGAGATAAATGAGGGTTTTGGGGGGTCAGTCAAGGTGGTTCTACAATAGTTCAGTCTCTTCCAGCTTCTTTTTTTCGTTTTTTTAATTTTTTGTTTATTGCAGTAACATTGGTTTATAACATTGTATAAATTTCTTATACTGTATTTTATAAATAGCTCACCTTTGGAGTTTGGGAACCAAAGCAAATGTCTGTTGGATGCTTTATGAACTTCTCTAGCCTGAGAACTCACTGTTGGGATAGAATTTTCTAGATCTTGGATAAAATGATGTTTTAGAGGTTGCCTATGAGTAAGAACTCATGTTCTTTCACAGACATAATGTATTAGTTTTCTATTGCTGAGTGACTAATTACCACAAATCTGATGGCTGAAAACAACACACATTTATTATCTTACAGTTCTTTATACTGTAAGTTTGGGCAGGCTTAGCTGTGTTCTCTGCTCAGGGTCTCAAGGCTGAAATCAAGGTGTCGGTTGGGTTGGACTCTTATCTGGTGGGTGTGGAGAAGAATCTGCTTTCACACTCATTCAGCTTGTTGGCAGAATTGAGTTCCTTGCAGTTGTAGGACTGAGGTTCTCTTTCCTTGTTGGCTGTTGTGCTCTCAGCTCCTAGAAGCCTTTCTCTGGTCCTTGCACATGACCTTCCCTATCTTCAAAGCCAGCATTGGTACACTGAATTCTTCCTGTGCATCCAGTCTCTCTGACTTCTGCTTCAGCCACCAGCTGGAGAAAGCTTCTCTCTGCTTTGAAGATCAGGCCCACTGGATCATCTCCCTGTCTTAAGGTCAACTGTGCCATATAACATAATCACAGGAGTGATAGCTCGTCGTACTCACAGGTTCCTGGAATTAGGGCAGGGAATCTCGGTTGTGGTGGGACATTTTCCGAATTCTGCCTAGCACACCTAATATTTTAGCAGGTAAAGGAAGTCGTGAGGTAGTGTGTGTTACATGGGAGCATGTTACATGTGCATGTTTATATGTACATGTGTCTGTGTCTTTGCCCGTGTTTGTGTGTGTGCATGGGTTTCTGTACATGAGAAATGTCTATCTTCATGTGTTTGTGTGTATACATAAAACAGTAGGCAGCGATTATACATTAGAATGAGCGGTGGCTTCAGAGTCCAAGACAGTTGTGATTTACTTCACACTCTGCTGTTTATTAGCTGTGTGACCTTGGGCAAGTCATGTGGCCTCTTTGAGTCTCAATTTCTTCATCAATATATGGAGTAAATGATCAGTCAGCCCTCCTTACCAATGGGGGTGATGACCCCTGCCCACCAGGGGTATTATGGGTATTAAATAAGAGAACACAGGGCAGTGTTTGAAAGTCTAGGCTCAGGACGCAGAGAGTTGAGTTCAAATCCTGACTCTGCCATCTACTAACTGTGTGACTCTGGGCAAATTACTTAACCTCTCTGAGCCTCAATTAGGCCTATTATGAGGATTAAATAAAACCCTTAGCACAGACACATAGTTAGCGTTCAGTAGAAGTTACCTAGGATGTTGGTGACAGCATTAGCTGCAGGTGGGGTTCCGTTCTTCTTTTCCCAGGCTTAGCGATGTGACTGCTTTTCTCTTCCTGCCCAGATGGAGTCCGCCTGTGTGACCATTCACGAGGCTCTGAAGACGGTTATTGACTCCCAGACGCATTACCGGCTCCGGGAGGCCCAGGACCGGGCCCGGGCCGAAGACCTGAATACCCGAGTCTCTTACTGGTCTATCGGTGAGACGATCGCCCTGTTCGTGGTCAGCTTCAGCCAGGTGCTGCTGCTGAAAAGCTTCTTCACAGAGAAACGACCCGTCAGCAGGGCGGTCCACTCCTAGTCGAGGAGTGTGCTCCAGGGCCCCTCACACCCCAGGATGGAGCCACTCTCCTAGGTCACAGGCTCCTGCTGGGCTGCTGGGTGCAACCCAGGGCAGGGGCAGAGCTGCCTGGAGAAGAGCACGGGGTGACATGCTCTCACCTCGCCTTCTCCTCAGGTGCTTAATCCTTGTACTCCAGCAGCCAAAACTCAGAGCCCAGTAATCGGAAGGCATCCAGTGCATTATGTGACACAATGAAAAAGGTTTACCATCAGGTGAGGGATTGGCCACTGTGGGAGGGCAGGGGGGCAGCAGTCCAGGCCTGGCTGGTAGGGAGAACCCCTTGTGCCCAGGCCTCCGGGGGGCAGCCCAGGGCTCTCCTCTGCTCTGTGAGGCATCGGTCATTGGCTTGTGTGTGTCCTACCGGTGCGGAGAAGAAGGGGCCCCTCAGTCTGACCTTCCCTCACGGAGCTCTCTGTATCTGAGGAAACCAGGCCCTGACGTGGCTCTGCAGAATTTCCCACCCCAGGTGAGCAGTGGTATCAGCCAATCCAGCAGGAGCAAAACGGTGACTGGGTGCCCTTGGTTAGCTGTGTATCTCCTAGGAGGTGGAACTCGGGCTAATAAAAACTAAGTGTAAGCGCCATGGAGACTTGTGCCTTTATTTATTTGCCCTAAAGGAGCTCACAGCTTAGTGGGGAGCTGTCTTGACATGAGTACAGCCATGTTTAGCCGCTCCATTGACCTACAGCCACCAGCACAAAAAAGAAATACAAGGCTGCTTTCTGCGTGGTGGGAACTGGCCCTTCTCTCACGGAGGGAGTTGCAAGTTGTAACATTTCAAGGCTCTTGGAGCGTC